TATATATGGATATATATACATATATGTATATATATGTACATATAAAACATACACACAAACACATACATATACAAATATATACATATATATTCACATATATGTGTGTGCACACACACATATATGTATACTGAAACACGGGTATGGATAGAAGGAATGGAGAAACTATAGCTGGTGTTCCGTTTTTATTTCAAAATGCTATAAAGCCTACATACACTGACGCTGGTCTGCGTATTACATATTACAAAACAAAAGAATAATCACTCTTGAATTCTCTCATTGATGACCAACACTACCAGCCACGAGGGTCCCTCATGGCGAACCTCTGATCAGGCACTAGGCCCATCTCTAATTCTGGTTAAGATCCCCAAGCCATGACTTCCTAAGTCGTTCCACAGGCCTCCTCCACCCAGAATTGTCTCGTAGAGAGAAAACCTAATAGGCAGGATCATCCACAAGGGAACAAGTTATGTGTCCATATAGCCTGAGTTGGCGATCCCGGATTTTGCAAGTAACAGGTCCTATGTTGGTCTCAAGGTCCTGCCAAATGTATCCCATGATCTGCCATAGGGACGTATTATAAAAAAAAAACATCAAAGCAAGACTCCAAGGCACTTGATAGCGTCCAGGTTTTGCTTCCATAGAGCAAAAATGATTGTATCAAGGTCTTGAAAACTTGGTCTCAAAAAACTTGGTCCTTCTGCATAAGTACCAACATCTTCAAATGCTCCATGACTCCAACATCCTCTCCGCAATCATGTATCTGTTGAATAGGTTCCCCTCAAAATCCTGGATCTTGGTCTTGGCCCAGGAGACCTACAGGCCCATTGCTCATTGCTGAATCCATCAAGAGTCGCCACCAGAGATTCCAGAAACTCAGATAGTGTAGCCTACTACACTATATCTGCACCAATTACACCACCAACAGTACTTTGATGGACACTGCAACACTTTTCACGAATCACCATAGCCATACTGCAGTCCTTTCCTTAATCTAAGTGTTTTATGAAAATCAAGGTTTCTCAATTCAAGAGGTTTCTAAAAAGGATATTATCCTAGATCCGTTTAACTTGTAGCAATATACATCTTGGGGGTAAAAGAAAGTAAATGATGAAAATAAAAAGGTTTATTTTTACATAGCATATACCGTTCGCCAAATTACGCCAAGATTCAAAAGTTCAAAAAGTCGGTTGTGAAACCTTGTATGAAAAACAAAAAGGGAGTTTGGTGGGTGTAATGAGAGTGAGGCCTATCCCCTATACACTAGGTGTGACCTATCAGGCATCTTAACACCGAAAACTTCTGACTACGCATGCTAGTTTGCGTAGGGCCAATTACACATTTTAAGGTAGATAATTGTTAAGGTAGATAATAATAAATCCACCGACTCATACGGAAATAGCGTACTAGCATCTTCCTCTCTCCACTTAAGAAAGCTCATTTCACAGGTTGCTTTTCAACGTAATCATATATCAGCAACCAATCCCAGTCTCGCTAAAAAGAGCCTCCCTGTCTGCATCTCTCCTCTCCTTTCCTTCTGCCCTCCGTTCGCAGTGCACTTCTCACGCCCGTTCTCGCACGTGGCGTGAAGACTGGAATCCGTGGCTACTGTATATATATATATATATATATATATATATATATATATATATATATATATATATATATATATATATATATATATATATACATATATATATATATATATATATATATATATATATATATATATATATATATATGTTTATATATAGATACATATATACATATACATATAAACATATATGTATATATATATGTTTATGTCTATATATATGTATGTATGATTATATATATATATATATATATATATATATATATATATATATATATATATATATATATATTAACAGCCATTCAATCCACTGCAGGACATAGGCCTCTCTCAATTCAGTATTGTGAGGTTATATGGCAGTGTCATTGGAAGATTGGAATCCGTCACCCTTGCCTGATTGGATGCCCTTCCTAATCAACCGCTAACATTTGTGTCACGGCGGTGACTTCCCCTACGACACCTGCGTTTAACTTCTCAAGGCGATATGTCGTTTTCTCGGGCACGAACAAGCAGTCAGAGCGCAGGCATTTTTACAAGGGGCA